TGCTTCACTTTGGATAACATCTTTAATAATTCTTTCACTGTTTTTACAAGTTATCTTTGTCCTAGCTGGCTTCCTGAACCCGCCGTTACCATTGAGAACTTTCACATTTATCATCATATAATATGATTTGGTTAGTGGGATAATTCCTTGTCCTTATCTGTAAGCATAATGATAAACTCTTTGTTGTCAGTCAAATCTCTTGATCCTATGGTGTGAACCATGGTTAAGAGCTAATGGTACTTCTGCTTCAAGTTTTTTAATTTTAGACTACAATCAAGTGCCGTTAACTTGAATCGTAGCAACTCTTCTTCACAAACAGGAATTAAATCTTTTGTTTGACTGACCAAACTTTTGAGTTCAACTTCTGTAGGACGACTGCTGCTTTTGGATATCTGGTGACAGAATCCAGTGCTAAGTGACAGTGCTTCTGGTGATTTCCCTCTGCGACACGCTTTTGAATTCCACCGCTATCTCTGCTGGCTTTACTGAAAATCTTCCCAGTGAAATTGAAATTGGAGTTATATGGCACAAAAATGTATGCATAGGTTTCTACTTAAAATGCAATATATTCCTCCAGTCCATTTCGTTCACCAGCTGACAATGCATCGAGCGCATAACTCATTAGATAAGCATAGGTCATCTAACAGACTGAAAGCATGACGCCTTGGAGTCATGCGATTTAAGTGGATATGGCTTCTACGAAGGACTTTTCAACAATATTTTGGATAGAGGGAACGTCCACAGAACCACTTTTTTAACCACACCGTTTGAGTAAGGAGAGCAGAAAGTGATATCTTTAATAGGACTTCTCTGATATTATATAAAAGAGTATCCGACAATATTGATGATCAGCGGATAAATGTAGAACTCAAGCGTCTTTTAAACGCAGTAGACATAATTGTTTGGTATTCGCCAAGTCCTAATTTTTGTTCTTCAGCATTAAATATACAAACCAGGCGACTTCATCATCATCTGTACGAATTAAGTCCTGATGACGTCAGCAGCTTAGTTACGAAACGCTAAAGCACAAGCTTCAAGTCTCAGAGAACACTGAAAAATCATCGTCCTCATCCTGGGCTGCAAATGTTAACTATTGTCTCTATTGACTTATCTTCTTTGCTTTCTCCCTTATTAAATAAAATTGAAATATGGAAGGAAAACTATAAATTTGAAAACGAAACTTTCACACATTTCTGAAAGTTTTCATCCCAAGAAATTTGGAAATTAATTTCTTGTTTGCATGCCGAATATTCCATTTCTTATTGGGTATATTTTCATATGTATGTGAATGTGAAGTATAGTTATGGTGTTTTACTCACTTATCAGTTCAGGTCAATACTCGACTGTTTCAATGGAAAAGTGAAAATCGAACTTTGTATCGGATATACTATCGGTAGCTCAGTTTCTTTTCTTTTTTCATCTTTAATTAATTATCAGGAAGGTATTTTAAAGAAATTATTTCATTTAAATCGCTTCCAATGCCTTTTTTTACCATGGTTTTTTTCTTGCACTTGGTTATCGATTATTTCTTTGAATATTCTAGAATTATCACTGATCAAATATATCAAGTTTTTCAAAGTATTTTGATAAACTTTGAGTTTCAGTCCGTTTTATTTTTATTTAATGGATGGATCATTTCTTAAAGTTATGTGCTTGATTAAACTAAATATTTTAGTGGTAAGGTCTTTGATTTCTGCACTGAGTTAGTTAGGTTCGAATCACCCGGAGAACACCATTTTTCTCTAATTTTCGGTGGTGCGGCTTGTTGATGAGTGTCAACAGGCAGTAGCCCTGGCTGGGTTCATCACTTCCTTCCAACTGACTGCCACCATCTGACGCCAAAATAAATTGCATCACACTGTTGCGCCATTTCGCCTAGTGACTTGGTAGGTCAAATCTGATCACTACTAAGCACTAAGTACTGGGTAGCTACTTGAGTTACCTGTTGGTAACTTACTCATGTAGCAGCATAATAGTTCAAGATTTTCATTTCAATGTGCAGAACTTTTTTTGCCGTGCATAACTTCGTACATACAGTTCAATGTCTGGAGTTAAGGTTGGTTAGATGTTATACAGCCTGATGATAAATGTAATGAATCACTTCACTACAAATTGGTATGAAGTATCCACTAGCAGCGTAAAATAAGGAAGCATACAGTATATGCAGTTCAAAAAAATATAGTGTGAATCATTTTGTTCATATAGTATATGATTCTGTATTCTAAAGGACATATATCAAGTTATGTGACACTAGATGCCACTCAGTACATTCTGTTTTCCACTAATCAAAAGAATCTTGGGAACTGAAATAAAATGAATTGCTTATGTAATAAGATGTTTTGTAGATGGGACTTCATTCAGTAATCCCTATGAAATTCTTTCCAGGTAATATATGTTGATATAGTCCTTGAGATTTATTCCTGTGGAAACTAAATAGTCGATGAAGAACAACTTCATTAACTCATTTTGATAATTTATAAACGTTGAGAACAAGTTGGTCCAGTTAACTGTGACAGTTTTTGGATATGTTGTGAGACTGAATAATTTATCTCAGACCTTTCACCATCAAATTTACTAAAACTGTTGGCACAAAATTACCTCATTGAACAGACTTATGCAGATAAATTTACTGGTCACAGAGTTCTCAGTAGTTGCCAAATTCTATGTCATTTTGAAATGTTTCTATTATACTATGAGACTCATTATCTTGATGCACTTTGGTTTTGTGCTTGTTAGTACTCATCGTCAACTGTCTACAATCATGCAAATGAATTCCAATGCTTCCTACGGATCTTTTTCAGGCAAATTAAACTGAAACTAATGCCTTTTCTCTGTAAATAGGTTTACATGGGATTCGAAATTCAGTGTGCTGAGAGACCAGCTTATTGCGTGTATGCTTATTAAAGAGGGGAAAATGTCCAAACAGAGAATATACACTATTCTTTAACTGCAAGCAGACGTTCGGTAATGAACGAATATTTAATTATAGTTGTCTCGAAAATGTTTTTTTCAATTTTTATGAATGATTAGAAACCTCACTTTATTTTGTGATGAACAGGGATAAATATGCAGGCAGCTAGTATTAACTGGACTACCATCGTCAATCAGAGTAGTTATTAAACTATTCCCTAATATTCTGAAAAAGTGAAGATAAATAGATTACTGCTTTTGATGGTGACGTCATCTAAAGACTCAGAGACTGTTGATAACAGTAGGATTACCTCCACTTCAATATATTGTGTAGCCGGATGAAGAAATGTAGGCACAATAGTGAAATGAATCAGATATAATATTTTGTACATGAAAGCGTTTCTGTAGTTCATGAATATTCTGGAAGAAACACTATCAAGTATACTAAAAATCATGGAGTGAAGATCTACCAGGCAAGGAAGTTTCTATAACTATTAATCAATTGGATATGAAACACGTAAAGAAGAGTCCCACTTATGAGCTATATCATTCCGAAGCTTCACAAGTTTATGTAGATAGCATAACTAATTGACAACAGACGATGATTTTTATTCAATATCAGGTAGTAAGAGATAAAACGTTGCATGATTCGAAAAATTTTAAAATACAGACTTGCTAAGATTAAAGCATCACTAAGTTGTAAACTGGAATGACGTTTTATGAACAACTAAATTTATTACTGTATAAAAGAGCGAGAAGTCAAAATTTTTACTTAGAAGGCTGTGATATAAGAGGAAAGCAGCAAGTATGTGTGGTAAGCAGGGGAGGAAGAAAACAATTAAAATAACTTTTGGTTTCATAAACCATAGATTTCGCAAATCGAGCAGCCGAGTAGAAGTTCTTGAATGCAGGTTCATACATTGAAAAATGTATCGCAATAAGTTTCATGTTACTGTGTTTTAAGACGTTTTTTGCCTCAAATAAGGTTAGTTTCTGCATTCTCCAGATGGTCAAAAGTCAAAAATTCTGAGGTAAAATAATAGTTTTGTCATAGTTTGTAGAGAGATTGACGAAATCTTCATCAGAAGTCCCATATGCATGAAGTATTTTCCAATCAATCTCTTTGCTTCAAAGTTTCGGCAAATCACGTGAACTAATGTGTAAGTATCAGGTTTGTTGAAGAAGTGGAAAGTCATTCGAATTTAAATCCACCTTGTACTTTGCATATATTGTTGACGTTGCCATTGAGGTTGTAAATACGTCTGCTCTATTTCCGCCTTTCCTATTTACAGGGGAACTCAGTGACCATTAAGGGTGGAATCTGAAGGCATTTGTACACAAGTCCACATATGCATATTCCAGGCTATATCAAGTCACCGGTAAAGATATATAAAAGTGGCCACTAACGTATATGAAAAGCTTTCCTCTTCTTTTTGTCGTAAAAGTGACCCGATTTGCGCTCTAAGATACTTCTGAAGTTAAACGAAGATTATGATTAATATTTATCACTCTACAGCAGTAGATGAACCAATTAACATGACCAGGGTTATTTGGTTTTCTCTTCGCACACAGATGGACCGTTAGACTGATGGAGAAAGTCAGCGTATGACAGAATAAAAGTTTTTTCGTGGTGATTGTGACAAGCGATTTGGAATGAAATTTTAAACAATAGTAACCTTAATATTGCAATATTTAAAAGTAACATGGCTGTAACTGTAGAAAGTTAGTGATGTACTTTGTTGAGACGTTCCAGTAAAGGAAAAACAAACTGTCTAACCTTATTCATTCCTTAATGTGCATTGAATATACTGCCACTTATGTTGTGTACTGACTGACCTAGAATAGATATTTATTTACCGAGAATAACATTGGATTCGATGGAAACTGACTACCACAAACAAACTAGAAGTATGCTAATTGTATCAGATTCTCAAGTAAAATTTTAAGTACAACTTGACAAATGTAAGTGAATCGATGTAGTATAACACGTTAAAGGGTCGTTTTGATTGGCTAATTTTATCTGCTTCAAAAAGATCAATAGAATACATTCATTGGTTAAAATATAAATTGGTTGGATAAATTTATTCATAGTTTATTCGAATAGTTATTTGGCATAAGTGACAACTTCAAAAATTGGGAACGTTTAAAATAAAATATTGTAAGAAAAAAAACAACAAAAACCTGATGAAAAAGTATTTTAACTGAGAAAAAAATGAGCATATTTATGTGTATAAACACATACAATACATTTTTTCTGAAAAGGCGAGAAATATTAACAATTTCTAAAGTACACGTAAAAGATACCATTCACATTATTTAACGTTAGGATTTCGGGAACAAACAAGAAATCAACCAACTATTTAGTCAGTAAGTTCATACAATATTTTAAGTATTATTTTGGAACTTTTGCATTGCTGTAATATTCTTTCAGTCTTAATGTCACGAAATGTTTGATTTAATTTGCTACTTTTGAAATCGCTTCAAAAATCTACTGAAGGCTCAATCACGAGTTGAGTTGATTTCATATCTTTTCTTAGCTAACATTCACCTCTGACTGACATTAGTTAAAGAGCCATTAAAAACCTGGGTTATCTTTTCATTAAAATCAACCCATCAAATAAGCCAAACTGTTGAGTACACTTAGAAATGCGCTAACATTTCGATAGCCTCAGACTTTCCTTTCAAAATATCATGTCGGAATGGGTTGGTGCATAGGTGGGAGAAAATACATACTTGGGAAATTTTCATTCATATGTCTTATAGCAAAGCACCAATGTTAAATGTTGACAGCTCACTAAGATTTTACTAAAAGTGTCATGAGTTCGACAATTTTTAATTCTGGGTGAGGATATGGATGAAAATTTGGACAACTGGAGGATTCAAACCAGCGACCACCGGGTTTTCAGCCCGATGCTCCAACAATTCAGTTGGTTCTAACCCTGCTGCAGTCTAGATTTTACCTCACCTTCAATCGTAACTCAATACCAATACAAGTCAGCTAAACTATGGCTGCCTTAGATAGTCGAAATAAAAATTTTATTTCCTTTTACTTGACTACTGAATTACAGCTATTTTTGAGTAGACATCCCATTGATCCTGATTAGCATAGGGTATTAGTGAACATATGTCACTGAACTGTTGGTAACGACAACCAGAGTATAACTAAGACCCTGATGAATTGTAAACTAGCTGCTAGTTTTGAAAGCATTTAATATAACGTTTCTACTAGATCCACTGTAACAAATTTTTATTTTGACAGTCAGCATACTGTTCTGACTGTAGAGCTTAATGACATAAGTATAAACTCTGAGGGTATGAGGGAAAAATGTTTCTCTGAAATCACTGTTGCTTTGTAATGATAATTTTTTAAAGATTTGAAAATTTATAGGATATGTCTTAATTCCCATTAAAAGTAATCGGTCTTTTACGGATGTACGCACGATTTTCTGCATACCTGTGGATAAACTTTCAAAAATATTATAATTATCAGTGTTTACATACAACGTTAAGACCCTTTACATAAAAACATGTCAAAATATGATTGATTGGTTAGCAGTGTAGTGGAGTACTCGAAAGTGTTTTCAAATTCTGGACGGAATTATCATGATCTTAGGGATAATATTCATTCGCACGTCACTTAATGGCACCTATTTCTTAAGTGTGATATCATTTATACTGTGAAATATCAAAAATGCAGGTAGTATACCCAAGCAGTGTTAAAGTTGTCGAAAATCCTTTGAAATGTTTACTAAAATGAAGTTTGGGCATTAGAAACCTCTCACTATTGTCAAGCAGGAAGAAAAGCAACTGTAAAAGGGATCAAATTTGTTCTCCTATTTACCGTTTACGTTGACACGCTTTGTTGGTACAGTCATATACATATATATATATATATATATATATATATATATTCCATAATATATCGGATGAGGTGAAAAGTAGTTACAGCAGGTCGATAAACATTTTTTTCTTCGCAGGCAAAACAATTGCGGAATGCGTTTTAGTTGGCTTGCTATCTATGCACAAACATTGAATTGGAAATGTCGATGATGATGAACATGAAGAGATATGAGGATGAGGATAAAGCGGAAAAGCCATAATTGTTGCAGGTAGATAAATGGTATAATAGATTTCGTCAACACAACAGTAACGTCTACTTCAGGAAAACAAAATTCCATTGACCGTGATCTCTAGCCGATGCAAATGAAACAATGGATTAGTGAATCATTCTCATTTAAAAGAAGTTTTGATAAGCTATTTGCTCACACAGACTTTGAAATTAATTAGGGAAGGAAAACAGGTTTTTGCATTAGATGTCTCAAAAACGTTTTTCTTTGTTATTTTTCCTCAAAATTAATTGACCAGTATCATGTGATAAAGTCTGTCCAAAACATGAATAAACATGAACAAGATCAAGTGCTATTCACTTGTATACTTACCATTGGACATTGAAGCAGTGACAAGACAATTATTGCTTAACCTGATTCTTCTGTCAATAACTAATCACTTTCGTTAACATAATTTATGATAAATGGGTTTAAAATTAATATCTGGGCATAATGATCACTTTTTAAGGGTTTTCGTAGCACTTAAGGAGAAACTAATTCCCGTGATCTCATCAGTTACCCGAATTTTAAATGCAGATTTAATGATAGATTTCATGTGTATGATGTTCCTCTTATCTTAGTTTGTCCATCTCTAAAACGACATTCCTAGCACCTAACAAGTGAACCAATTCACATGTGTTGCATGCATCCAGTGTGATCTGTATGACTCATTCTACATTGCAAAACTCTTTCAGGGATTTAATTCGGTCATATGTTTCAAGAACCTGATCATAATTTTGGTGGCTAAAAGGATTGTAATATCGTCCTTAGATCAATTCATTTACACAGTTGGTATGAGAAATTTGGAACTTGTAAGACAAATACTTGACACCCAGTTCGAATCGAAATCGTTACGTAACGCTTATGTTTAGTGTTCGGGGTTGAGAATAACTCATACTGTTAGGTAGTTATTATCAGATATATTTTTCTTTGACTAATAGAGTTATGTAGATCGGAGCTTATGGTTTTAATTCTCTGAAAAATTAGAGAGTTGGTGATATAGTTTTTCAACTGAATTGTAATGAAGTCTGATGGTATTGTCTCATATCCAGGGTTCTACAAAAGTATGCCTTTCTACTAATTTTGATCAGTTTGTTTTCTGGTAAGGAAGTGTTTTTAGGCTGTTGTTGGTGTAAACTGAGAACTAAGCGCATTTTAGCATTTTATCATCTATACGAACAATAAATGTTCAGTTATAGAAGACTAATTGTTAATAAACATTTTTATTTCACTTTTATTTGCAACTTGGTTCACACTTCTGCCTAGATACCGTTTGGTTTAATTAGTAGATAAAAGGGAAAGAGATTTAGTCGAAAAACAAATAATTTTCATTGTTGGGATTACCAGGTGTATAGGTGATTAAAAGCCTTTTTATATATGACACGAATCTAGTTGCATACAAAGGACGGAAGTTATCTGATCGGTAATTAACAGCCCACAGCATGTCACATGATGCATGCGTTTAAATTCAATATCTCTGAAGATTTAGTGCTTTCTGAGAAAACTACATTACGTCTGTTAAGTGCTTTTCAGCCTATCATGGAAGGATATACAGTTACGTAACGGCATAAGAACCTCTGTTCAACTGCAGATATTCAAAACCACACTGAAGGGAATAGTGATTCGTTGTTCTGGAGGATAACTCTCTGGTGTTCGAAGAGATTAGGCTTGGGTTAAAGTCATGGAGAGAACAACAACATTCACAAACAGGCAGGTGCATTCAACTGATTAGTCTCAAAAGGGATAAAGCACAAGCCCTGGATTGCACTGCTAGCTACCATCCATCCCTAACATAGCCGTGTTCCCATTTTTGCTCACAAGTAGAGTTGAAGTTTCTTGTCAACACCATGTTCAGGTCTGGAGTACAAATGTCCAACGTTTTTATAGTGGATTCATTTAAACTTTTTCGATAAAAAATAACACTGGAAACCGGCTCAGAAATTTTGAACTGAACATATGTGTTCTCTCAGTATTATTAAACGGTTATAAGTAAGGTGAAAACAAAATGAACACTTTGGGATACAGCGAGGTATGAATTATTAGCACGTTTTCTAGGTCATTGTTTGACTCCGAATACGAGTTCTCTCCGATAGCTCGAAGGAGATTTAAGACTTTTTCAATAAACTGCACTCATAACTTAACCTTATATTTGTGTCAACAAAAAGGTAATTTTATCTTCCGGTCAAATCTAAAACATTAATAACAATGAGTGTCGAAAAATATCAGTCAGATGGCCATGACGGTCAGAGGTGAAACGTCTGCTATCTATGATCATACTGTATTAAGACTGGTGTAATTAAACATTGTAGGTAAAACGCTTGGATCTTTATCATGACTGGGTCGATGAAATGTTAGTCAAACTTCATGAGAACGATTCCTAATCTTCCAAATATTTGGGAATAATATGAGAATCACATGTTCAGCTATGGGAATTTATAGTACTTCACAAACTTAAAATCAATTCTGTCGGTTGCATCGTTAATCAAATCTTTTTTATGGTCATCTGAACAAGTGTCTTGATGAGCAATGGTAGTGGGATGATGTTTGGAGCAAAAATAAACAAGGTATAGTAATCCTAAGGCGAAAATGATACTGAATTCGGTCAAAAGGTCTAAGCAGTTTTATTTCTTGCAACACATAGATGTATAATTTAGACCACATAGAAACTTATGTACGCTAATGCATACATCTGTTTCATTCTTGTATGTGAGCTATTACTTTTATTTACTGAATTTGGGAAGTGTTCCAATGTACTGAATATTTCAAGTCATATTCTAGATGGTAAATTGAAAACAGCAGCCTGGTTGGTTACTGATTAGTTTGAGATTAGTTAGTGTGATCTAGAATTCACGCATTTGAACCTCAAAAATTGGTAAATTAAATTGAAGTTTACAAAGATGTAACGTGAAGTGTAACTGCGTTTATGTGAGTGGCTGTTCATCTCACAAGTAGTTCATATTGGAATTTTTCCTTGTATAGACTTTGTGAACGTCATGATTTGTACAAGTTGTTCGAGAGGAATTAAGACTTTGTATTCATGAGGAATTTTGAAAACATTTGACCATATTTCACAGAGGCTTTCATTGGCATTGCCAACTATTTTTTTACATCAAGTGATTTCCAAGGCAACTTTGTCTTTTTAAGTAGGTCTTTAAGTTCCAGTAATCAAATTCCTTATTATACTGTTCATGGAAGTGATTTCATGCCTCAGGCTACAAACATAACTATAACTAAACAAACAAATCTTACTTAATAAAGTGA